GGGGCCACTTGCCAGCTATCACTCCGCGGCCAAACTTGTCTCCTTCCCGCAGCAAGTCCTGCGCCTGAGCGGGCGTCATGCCCCGCCTGTCCAGCAGCAGAGCCCTCCAGGAGGCGTCTGCCCAGTCCCTGCGGGCGATGTGGACGGCGACGGTACGGCCCTGATGGCCGCTCAGCAGGGGCCGCCAGCGCGTCTCCAGGGTCTTGACCCCACTGAGGACGAAGCCCGCGTAGGGCTGCCGGAAGGACAGGCAGTGGAACTTCATCCCGCGGCGCCGGGGGCCTCCCTCGGCCTAGGGAAACACGGCAACACGGTCTCCAAGGGGCACCTCTGGGCGGTCTCGGGCGCCGGCCTGTGGGCCTGATCGGCCCGGTGCCCGAAACCCCACTGAGCTGGGGAGTGGGCGGCCGCACTGTCCGCTCCTGCTGCCCCCGCGCTGTCAGCCGGACAGGGCCTGGCCGCTGGGCTGACTGGACGTCCGTGGGGTCCTGGGCAGCCTTGCGGGAGGCGCTTCTGCTGTCGCCAAGCTGTCAGCTGGACAGGGGCTGGTCGCTGGGCTGACTGGGCGGCCGTGGGGTCCTGGGAGCCTTGCGGGAGGGTGGGGCACCTAGAGAAGGGGATGGGCAGCACAGGCTGGGGTTAGCTGGGCCACAGAGGCCTCCCAGTCACAGGCCAGCAGAGGCGGGAGCCCTGGCTGTCCAGCCCAGCGGGCTGCGCTACCGGTCTCCTGGCACAGGAGACAGCCGGCTGCCTGGATGACCTGCTCATGCCTGGGGCTGGGCAGCACAGGGACTGCCTTCAGGTAGCCACAGGCAGGCCAGTGCCCAGGCTTCTGTGCCTCCCCACCCCCCAGACCCGGGCGGCTGCCAGCTCCACCCCTCCCTGGTGGCAGTGAGGACACAGCTGGTGGCGGGTATAGCGCCCAGGTCCTTGGGGGCGCCTGTGCAGCCCGGGAGGTGAGCCGGGGGAGGTGGGCCAGACAGGAACGGGCGCTGGCGCTCTCCCCACTTCCGCACTGGCGCCAGCCCAGAGCCCCTATTTCGCGCGGTGCAGGCACATACTTGCTGGCTGCGGGCAGGCGGCGGCGCTGCTCTGCTGGCCGGCGGCGAGGCGGATCGGCAGTCAGGCGATGACGCCTGCCCGCACACGGGCACGGCGATCGGGCCCCGGACCCCTGGGTGGACTCGCAGAGGCCGCGGCTCAAGGACACGGACGGGAATGGGGTGAGGGCGCAGGACCAGCGGGAGGACCAGGCGCTGCGGGTGCGGCCAGGAGAGGGCGGGGCGAGTGTGGGCGGGGCTTCGGAGACAAGCACGCGTCAGAGGACCGGCGGGCGGGGCTATTCCGAGCAGGGCGG